CGGCAAATGCTCTCCGCAGATCCATTCTCACAGCGTTTATCAACCTTTTTCTAACTCAATATCAAGCCACACTTATTGTGTTTACTTCTTTATTTTAATTGAATATGTCTGACTTTTGTTGCCGTCAGTTAGGGGGAGAGTAGGGGCTCAGAAAACTGAAATCTGTATTGTTTCATCATTTTGCCGCGATCCCAACTCGTCTATTACCAACGTTCAGGGAGCTCTATGTAAGTCAATGGGACTCCCTGATAGTTGAAACTCGACGCTAAAGGGCCCCCCCTTGCGTTGGAAAGTGACGACAGGGACCCTGACATAACGTCAACATAGGCCGAGTTGGGAGTGAGAATGTGTTATAGAGGTATATGGTTGTTTATACCAAAGGGGACTTAATGCCAAAATAGGGCTGGAAAAAAATCCTTTTCATAATGCCAAATACAAATACCACAGCAAATCATCAGTCTCTACAGGAATACTACAGGAGCTTTCAAAAATAAAGCAGAATAGGGTCACCATAACTCACTCGAGTAAAAGGAGACAAGTAAGCTCCTATAGGAATAATTCAGTAATATAATGTGGTTTTTTCAAGTAAATGTTGTGTCTGGCTCTTTGCATCAGCATCCTGTATCAGAGGCTTGGAACACCATCTGACTTCTTTCAATGTCAGGAGGAGGAAATGTAGTCATACTGAAATACTGCAGCTCTTCCTTCCTTTAAAAAACAAAAGGGAAGACACTTCCTACAATATTTTCCAAGTGATATATGGCTTGTCTTTTCCTGGTGAAATAGTTAACCCTGTTTCCATGTTCCGAAATGAGTTTCACTGATACAGGCCCCCACAGGGGTTCAGCAATAAAAGCCCACGACTTGTTCCTTTTAAAGGGTGACGTTACCCTCATCCTGCCATGTAAGATAAGCCTGAAAGGTTAATAAAAAAACAGTGGTAGTATATCACTGTCAGATTGAAGAAAGAGCAGGCCATTGGCAACTCTTTTGTAGATGGCAGAGGAACAATCAATGCGTAGTGAGTAATTGATGTTTTTTTTTACTACTAAACTGGGGCACAGAACACCCTAAAGGGAACAATAGATGACTGCCATGACGTTTCACTCTAGCGGCTAATGCCAAAGTTACTGTACACATTCAATACAGTGAGTATTAAGAGCAGTTTCATTACCTCCACCAGCCAGTAGAGGGCACTGTTTAGAACATCCGTATATCAAATGTATTATCACCAGCTTATGCTTTGGTTTTGATATTTAAATCAAAACTAAGATTGATCAGTACAAACATATGAATACATTTAAAATAATGTCCAATACTTACAAAGAAAAAAAGCATTTATTCAGAAACACTCTCACTGCAGGGAGATAAAAGCATACTCACAGCAGTAGGAAGTAAAAGAAAAAGGGAGGCCATGTTACAAAGGATGGTTTAGGCAGTGGTAGGAACATCTTGTTCACTTTAGCACTTGATTAAACAACAGTTAGAAGTTCTCTCACGCAGAAACAGAAATGTTTTAAGATTCTGGGAAATGCACACCGAGTTAATTAACATACAAACTATACATCCACAAACATAGTTCGATTTTTTTGTGATTTTGTTGGCACCAACTGTTTAAAGATTCTCCAGCATGACTCCATTCAGCATGAAGTCCACTTCTTAGGTATTGGCAATGTAGTGCATGTTTTAAAAAAAGATCAAAGAATAAAAAATAAGAAAACTTTGTTGATTAAAATGCTGGATTGTCAACACCTGTCTCACAGTTTAAACTTTATCAGTCGTGTAAAACAGGGAATCATCTGCACTGTGAGAAGGGAGGAAGGGCCAGATTTCATGGATATAGCAACACAAAAACATACCAGTAGCCGCATTACAACCTTATTTTCACACCCTCAACATTTTTTTTTACAAATGTTAAAATATCTACATGAAGCTCGGCGAGCCCCGATTAAGTTCTCATTTACCTCTATAATTTTTTTTCTGTGATTTACAGTCGCTAAAGATTTTAGCCGGAAAATCTGAGGCTTGGTAACAGTGGAATTAAAATAACCCTGTTTGGCAACAATTCCTTTGATTTTCAAAATCCTCCCAGAAAATCAGTAATCCTTGGATGATCTACAAAAATAAGCGGGAAAAAAGAGCAGCCTTGAGGGCTAAACAATAAAAAAAAAAAAATGAAAGCTTCCAGTTTCAAAAGCCATCCCAAACTCTGAAGTTGTTAATATCTGGACAGATAAATGAATGAGGCCAACATCTTGAATACACATGACATTAAGTGTCATCATAAAGGATCAAATATAAGACGGACAGCAGCATTAGAGTCTTTTGTTAATTGATGGACATCGATTCAAGGGGTCTATACTAACATAGACTAAGAAATATTCAGGTAAAGGTTAGGATCAGGTAAAGAAATTAAGAGCACTGATTACTTCACAAAGACTCAACAATTGTGGTGTACACTGAAAAGTCATAGGCAGTATAATCGCTGAGTTTAACAGTGGAGAATGTCTGAGCAGCAGAGTTAGTGTCAGTGGCAGTTTGGTCGTTGGCTTACTCCGAGCGTATCAAGCAGTCTGAGTCACAACAGTGGTTATCTTTCAATGAAATAGCGGCTCAGATACCATTAATTAAAAACTAAAAATGTTGAGATTGTACTAATCACTAAACTAAAACCAGCTATAAAAAAAAAGAAAAAATCATTTTTATTTGAATGAGAATGGCAAGGACGCTCTGCTTTGTTTCCCAACGGAACAGTTGTATTGTGGGTTGTTAAGGTCCGGGGGGAGATCAGAGTAAACAGCATCTTTCCCTGAAGCTCTTCTTGTTCTTCTTGTTCTTTCCTTTTCCATTTTTGTCTTTGTTTTCTGCCATTTTCTTGCCTCGTACTTCACGCATCAAGTCAAAGAATACCTGGGGAGGAAAAAGAAACAAAAGTCATAATTACGTCATAATTGGCAAATTCGCTACAGTTCTGATACAATTAATATCCCGGTAAAAAAACACATTGATTATAGTCATGTAGTGTGACAGACCTTGTCCACGTTGGCTCTGGTTTTGGCCGATGTCTCCACGTACTGGACCCCCCACTCCTCGGCCTTCCCCCTGGCCTCCTCCACAGAGACCTGCCTTCGCTCCTCCAGGTCCGACTTGTTCCCTACCACCAGAATAGGGATCTTGTCCTCCTCCGCCTTCACCCGCAAGATCTGCTCCCTGCCGGCACAGAACAGATTTAAAAGTTAGCGTGGCTTTATAGTTAGGGCTGGCTCAGGCTTGGCCCAAGTTAGACTACTACAGGCTCAGACTGTCAGGGCATTTACGTTATGCATTTATGCTAATTTGTCTTACTCCTAGTTGTATGCACTAATGTAAAATGAATTAGAACGTATTTGCATCCTGAGACAGGGGTCCCTCCCTTTTCTCTCCCCGAAATGTCTTCCATTTTCCCCGACAAGTGTGCGTTTTCTCTGGGAGTTTTTCCTTATGTGCTGCGAGGGTCTAAGCACAGTAGCTGTAAACATTGTTAAGCCCCGTTAGACAAATGTGTAATATGTGTAATCAATCACATTTTTATTGAGATATTAGTCTTACTTGTGTAAATAAGTGGGTGTATTTTAATAGTGATACAATCAAAAATTCATTAAAAAAGCTTTTGAACCAAGATCAGTTTAGGTGCCATTTAGGGGTTAAAAAAAAATTGCTTTTTTGTTTAACCCACTGCTTTCAGGTAGCTCTGATAAAAGGCTTAAACCATTTGCTTATTTACAGGATTAAAAGTGTTTAATAGTGATACCCAGAAAGATGCAATGAAAAGTCACTTTAAATCTAGTTCAACAAGATTATTTCAGGTGTACATGATTCTACAGTGGTGTTGACCAAAATCTGTATTTTAACTTCAGCATTTTGTTAAAAGAAGCTGCCATCAAAACCTTCCTGCAACAACTGATCCAGACCGACAGCCTTCTCGCTCTACAATTATAATATAGCACTAGGGCTGAACGATTAATCGATTTTAAATCGAAATCGCGATTTTAAATGATGCAATTAAAAATCGCAAAGCCTGCAATTTTTTTTCCATTCTTTTTTTTTGTTCCATACCAATCAGAATTGCTGTGCTCCACATGTACCAGGCATTGTTAACCAATCAGAAGTGGCCCATGATAGAAGGTGATAGACAGATTAATCCAATCACCTGCCAAGTATTTTTGAAAGTGCCTGCCCTTTCCAAATGGCTTCCAATGGAGCTTTCCTAGATGGTTTGGTGAAACAAACCACCTGAGTCAGGTTAGTAATGCTCCATCACATGTTTCTATTACAGGGTGAATCTTAAACTGAAGCTTGACTTTAAAGCAACCCAACGGAAGTTTCATGTAAGTTTACGGCCCGTCCACACACAGGCATGAAAAAAATCTTTCAGAGCTTCGCCCATTTAGTTGAATGGGGTGACGTAGAAGATTTGTAATCTTCGCCGAACTGCATTGTGGGGAGCGGAGAATGGCTTTGCAAGCATCGTGAGCATCAAAAGTTGAGCAATGTTCAACTTTTGATGCTCCCAATGCTTGCGAAGCTGGCATCAGCCAATCAAAACCCGTTTATGCAAATCCCGCCAGTGCAAGCGCTAGCCAATCAAACCGCGTGTACTGTATGCAGATACCACTGCGGTCTTTTCCATATGTCATAAAATGGAGGATAAATTAATCATCGCTGTAGGAAATGTCCCGGTCCTTTACGACTGCTCTCTGTTCACCTACCGGGACCTAAACCGGAGGAACCAGGAATGGCGGGAGGTGGCAGAGACAGTTGGTGAAACTGGTAGGTTTTCACTTGTTTGGGGAGTTTATATCCAGTTTACTTCGTTTAACATTGAATGGACAGGCTTTGTATGCCGGGGGCGGGCGGGAGATTCCTGGGAGATTCCTGATTGGTTGTTGGTCGCCTTGGGTGCGTTAAATCGCCAAGCTTCAGACACGACCAGCATCAAGATTTTTCAAGATTTTTTTCATGCCTGTGTGTGGACGGGCCGTTAGTTCTTTCACTCGTATCTCGGGCTGCGGGGGTGCTAGAGACGGGAGCACGTTGGTACGGCCTTCCTAGCCGGAGATATGGTCGCATTTTACAATAAACTTCCGTTGAGCCGCTTAAAAACAAATCGCATTGCAATCGCAACATCTGTCAGAAAAATTGCAATTTCATTATTTCCCAAATCGTGCAGCCCTATATAGCACACTATGCTTCCTGTGATGCAGGATATATTTTCTAAATGCAGAGCTCCTAAACCTGGATTTTAATCAAATAGCATATAATGCCGAACGACACTTCTGAGGAAGGAGCTATTTTTGGTGCCCCTGCCTACTGAAAATAAAACTACAACAATGTAATCAAACAAACATATTGATCATATCAGCAATGGACCATTTGTACTGGCCGATACGTTATCGATGCCCTGCTGTACTTATTGTACACATAGTGCTGGTGTTACAAAAGAAGCCATCAATTGATAAAACATTTTTTTTAATCTAGTGTAAAAACTGTAGCGTTTCCATTTTCTTACTGTGATGCAGGCGTTCAGTGTAGGACAAAGTATGTGTGGAGGGAAAAAAGGATTTGATTTGCTTTTCCTCCACTTATTATCTTATATACTTGTTTATTATTAGATTAGAAAGCCAACACAGTCCTCTGGAGAGAGTGCAATCCTTTCAGCTTATTGCTGCAGCTGTACATGGACACTGTACAAAGAGATGTGTTTATTTATTTTCCATGTGTAACATGTATGTAAGCCTGAATTGCTTTCTAACAGCGCATTTCCACTGCAGCGCGTAGCACGGTTTAAGCGTTTTTTGTTGCGTTTCCACTAGGGGTAGTTCCGGCTCACGGGTACTGCTTCACAGTTTTTTTGGCCCTCCAAAATCCAGGTTCTTTCCGGGCCAACAATCGGGCTGCAATCGGGCTGCGTTACTATAGTTACTGCCCCAGCTACTAAACTGTAATGGAAACGCAGCATAAAGTGAGCCTGGCCTACCAAGGCCTAACTATACTGTACTAAACCGGTGCGAGGCCCTGCAGTGGAAATGCGCCATAAGCTCACAAAGAGCGCCATTTACATGTTCTTGGTTCCCCACACACTCAGATGAAGGCCGGAGACAGTACCTGAATTCTACGGTGGCACTGAAGGACTCCTGCTCTGTGATGGAGAACACCAGCAGGAAGCCCTCCCCGCTGCGGAAGTAGTTGTCCCTGATGGCAGCATAGTCCTCCTGGCCGGCTGTGTCCAGGATATCGATCTGGACCTCCTCCCCATCCAGAACCACCTTCTTCCTGTAGCTGTCTGCCTTGGTGGGCTCGTAGTCCTCCACAAACTAGGGATGAAACATATCACCATTATTGTTAACGTCTGAAGGGCCGACCGCCATTCAACACTTTGGACTAAGTGACACTGGTAATTTCAGAAAAGTGCTAGAGGTTTAGCAATCCAAAACTAATGAGAATGGTCAAGAGAAGTCGTCCGTCTGCTCCTCCAAATGTATTTCATTTAAGATAGTTATATGTTTTGATTTTAAAATGTTATTTTCAAAAGAAAAGAAAATGGCATTTTGAAGAAAGATATACAACCATGTTTTGGATGACAGGCAGCAAGAAAGTCTAAGGCTACGCCTGCAACAGAATAGTGAAACATGTAGCAGATATGCTGTTTGGTAGCACAGACAAATCATGACCGTCTCTGCCCTCAATTTGGTGTTGTTGTAACAGTAAACAACATGTGTGGTCAAGCTAGCAGTGAAGTTGAGAAAAGTGTGCGTTTAGAGTTTTCTTTGCACCTCTGTGATGTAGGGGCCAATTTTGTTTCCTATAATCAAGTTCTTACTTTGAAGTAACAGATAGTGGCCTGAAAGCAACCTTATTGAAAACAATTGTTTCACATTAAAGGTTTCTACTGGTAAATCGCTCTAAGAATCATTTTAATTTAGAACATTTTAGAGAAATGCTGACACAATCAACATGTTTAGCAAAAAGGAAATAAGTGAAGAAAAGGAAGCTAGTTAGATAAAGAGGTGTGTCTCCCTGGTAACACCCATACTTCTCCATGTAGCAGTGTTAAGCTGTCTATAGGGGTGTGTTGACTCACCTCATCATACATGAACTGCAGGGTGAGGGCCGACTTCCCCACGCCTCCACTCCCTACCATGATCACCTTGTGCAGCGCCAGAGAGCTCTGGTTTTTACCTTTACCGGTGGCCATCACTGGTTTCTTCTTTGTGTCTCTTTCACACACATGCGCACACACACCCACTCATACACTTCCTCTGCACACAGACAATGAACCAACCTGTGAACGACAAAAGTAGAAACACATAATTACCAAGAGTTAACAGCCTCCTTTCAGTGTGTGGACAGATGACAGTTGTTACTTTACAGCTTTCACTAAGACAGTACGTTTCTGTGCCAAGGCGCTAGGCTTTGCTCCAACACATCTTTAATCCTAACCCCCACCTTTCACATTAAAGTGCCAAATTGCCTTGTCATGAATCCTAGAACTTTATAAAGTTCACCATCAAAAGGTCGTTGCAGCCAATCAGAAGTAATGAAGCTATCATTCTCCACTGCGAGGCGGCATTTAGCAAAGCATTAAAATAGGGCATCATGTGCTCACCTCGTTAAAAGGCCGGCAGAAGTCATTGGCTATCTATCTGCACTATATGAGCCCTGCCCTCAGGAGCAAGAGCTCATAATTTCTTTCACCCTGACTTTCATATCTTCTATGTCTGTCATGGACAACTTGCAACAGTACAATTTTCTTCTTTTTTGTTGTAAAAATGAACATGTACAAAGCCACACAGCTTTCAGATATTTCACAATAAGCCAAAGGTCCAAACTGGTTATCAATCAGCAATATTAGCGGGATACTCTTCCAAAACTAAAAAGGCTATTTTGATTGATTTGTCTGTAGGATAAATTAACTTGCTGGAGTTAGACCTTTGCCATTTTTTTCCAAAACATGTGTAGGATAGCTGTATCAGCAGACATTACCATGAACAATGATTGGATAATGGCAAACACCTCAATACTGAGCATCACTACTAGGGCTGCACGATATATCGTGTCGTGACGATAATTGCGTTATGCGCATGCGCTATATATATATGTTTTTTTAGGACGTGCGATATTAAGTAGGCAAATGAACTCAAACACGTCATGTTACAATTCTTTTGCAGCTTGCTACAAAAAGGAAAACTCGCGCGGCTCTCATGTCAGTGGTACTTGAGTGAGTGACATGCAGGCTCTGCATGCACAGCAAATCAAAATCATTCTTGATCAGATCACAGCAGGATAACCGAGCTAGCTCAGCGTGTTGCTCTGATAACTTAAGATCCAGAAGTCCGTGACTAAAATCCTTCATCCGGTTAAATATTGTTAAAAAAATACCAATTGTATAGCATTAAAGTTCAAGAAAGGATGGTTTGCGGACAAAAAAAACTGTCTTTTCTTCAATTCCTGTATTTTTTCATATCGCAATATATATCGCAGGGGAGGAAAATATCACAATGTCAGTTTTTTCCAATATCGTGCAGCCCTAATCCCTAGTTTGCTTGTAATGGAACACTGCATTAAAACAGCCATTATTGGGCTTTTTAACAATTGTCAAATCCTTCTGAGACAATGTTTGGCGTTTTGCCTTTAATTGTAACAGACGTAACAATTGTCAAAAAGTGTCAAAAGTGGAATCCTATGCTTTGGGATCGGACCCAATATCCTGTATTATGACAACTCTTAACCAAGTACTTCCTGGCTGTCAAGTCTACTGACACATTTCTACAGCCTTCTGTCTGAATAATACAAATACACTTCAGCTTTTATTAGATAACCCTTAAGCAAATCCTGAGCTAAGAGTTTAAGGTGTCAGCACTCGCTGTTGTTCTATGCTCCACCTTTGGCAACTCTGCTCAGTCAACAATCATTTACACATTTACTCATCTCACTACCAGCCTAATGTACTATCAAATACACAGTTGAGCCTATGGTGATGATAATGTTAACAGATGTCACATTGTATAAACAGAAGTGACTGTTGTGCAGAGAAGCAATAGGGATAAAGTTGACACAGACACTTTGATTTGATATCCTGAAAGTCTGTCTCCCAGATGACTCGATACTGTTGCTGTCGAGTCTCGGGAACCAAGCTCTTCTCTTCTGCAGCGCTTACCTTCTGTCCCTATTTCATTGTATCTCTATCTGTCGAAAGACAAACAGCCCCCCCCCTCCTCTCTGGATGTCACATTGTCACACTAATGGAAGCGCTGATCTAATTGAAGACATTATTCCCAATCTGCTCCTCCCTAACAGTAAACATTACACTTGAGCAGGATGAGTGTGCACTGAGAGGTAACGTGACAAGGCAGAGGGGAGAAAACATTCCTGCTGACAGCAGAAAAACAACTCATAGCTCCAGCTCGGGGGGTTTTGCATTAGGGTTTTCAGGGTAAAAGTAGATCACGACGACACCACATAAACTTGGGAAACCAGCTAAATTGGTGTAAGATTTATTTAGGAACATTGCATATTGAAATTGAGCTTTTGCTGCAACAAGTCCTTGCATTTTCCAAAAACAAAGGGGACCAACTGGTTTGCTTTAAGAGTTTAAGCCTACACTTCAGTATGGATACTGAGGATGTGGTACCAAAGTTCCACTACCTCCCCCCCCACCAGGAAGTATGACCTGTGCTCTTCCTGTCATTGTCATCAGTAACCAGGCCAGTGAAAGGGCTCATAGGAAGGATATCTACACAAACACCACTACACACCTTCTAAAAGGAACCAATGCCAAACTCAGCACTTATGCATAGGGGTCACTATCTAAATAATTAAAGTGTAACCCACTTCTCTTTGCGCATGCACGCATCCCAAAGCTATGAATAAAGCAAATCACAGTTAATAAACTGAAAGTGCCGATGATATGCTTAGCTCAAGAAAGTGCTTAGTGCGACTTTTCCAACAGACCTTAGGGCAGGGGTTCCACCATATTTCCATCAACTGCAATTCACCACATTGCATGCAGTGTTAGGGCAAGGGAGGAGTCCATACTTAGGCCTGACCTAGATATTGAAACGCAGCTTGCTTGGTGCCTGTCCTGTTTAAAAGGGGTGTAAGGTTATGGAGGAGGGGTACAGACCACTGAGGTTGTTGAGCTCCGTAAATATAGATGACTCTCCCGTGCAGTGTGGGCTACAGGAATTCATTAAGATTCCCTTTGGAGAATGGGCCAGTGTTCCTCTCCTGCTCATCTTGACATACTGGCATGGAGGCTCCGGGGTTTTACCAGGACTCACACAAATACTAATACTAATACACAGCAAGCAGGTGTTGACCAACAATTCATGTTGATGCCAAGAACATAGTCCAAACACCTCAAAAATAACATGACCACCAATTTTTATACTTTCACTGAATAGGAACATTGTTTATCTTTATGTGTAGAAGCTAAACGTTGAACTGGTTTAAACAAGCCAACATATTCATTATCACATTTAAATGTATGTACTGAGGTGCAAGTTAGAATAAGTACAATTATTTGTGTCTAAATTCAGAATAGCCATAGTTGCAGAGACCCTAAAGACTCTCTTTCTCTGCATTCCTGAGGTCACAGGCGTGAGGGGATTTCCTATCCCGTTCTGATGGAGAAAGCAGGAGCTTTTTCTGACCCAATAACGACTCAACAACTTCCAAGAATCTGAGAGTGATATTAGCTCAGTTTGGATGTTTCTCTCATCAACGTAGAGTCACCGAGTCAACTGGAACTACCTATCGTGTCCTGAGGTCTGTGTGATGAAATTGAAACACTGCAATGTTGCACTTATTTAATGTGAATATTAGTTAATGGATAAATGTCAGTCAAAGGGCAAAATGTATGATGGAATTCCATTGAAAGATATTGTGAAATTATTTTGCAAAAACACATTTGCGTCTCTATTTCCCTTGTACTCAACATATTGTTGTTAGGCGACATCTAAACAGATCCACCCCCTATAGTTCTGCTGCCAGAAATTGACAACTCCCTCCCTAACACACCGGCTGCAAAACTCTTGCTGTGTCTCATCCAATTTGTACCGCTCCCAGACTAAAAATGTTCCTTATTTGTTCCCCAGCCAATGGGAAAGAAGGACTGAGCCATTAGCTTCTAGACAGCTACCTATCTAACTAGTCATAATTACTGCTCACTGTGGAGAAAACAAAATAATCCAGATGAGTCACCTCTGTCATGATGAGGATTGTGCAAGAATAGGTCTTCTGTGGCACACAGCGATATTCAAGATCCTCATGTTTGTTTTGCACAGTAACCAATGATTCACAATTTAACAGCAAATCATTGTGGAGGCATCACAAATACTGTACGTGTAAACTAGCAGATATAGCGATGACTGCTAGTGGAAATAAGGAAGTGATTTGGCATACTTAAAAAGATTGTACACGGCAGTTAAGAAGAAATTCTTAAAAGCACCCCACAGTGCATACTAACAACCCATGGCCGTAGAGTGCACAGAGGGGCCTTTGACAGAACCGGGCAGCAGGGAACTAAATCCTCTCTGTGCTACAATCCTTCTTACTTGAGCAACACTGAGTGAGCCGCTTTTCAAATACATCTCTCTTCGAAGAGAAAAAATCCCCCTTTCTTATTCATACAGACATTCATCAAGGTGCAAGCAGTCTCCAGTGATCCCATTCGGCTGTCATACAAAGACTTGACCTAAAACACAACCCCATGTTGTGATACTGCATATATACAGCCAATACATACATTACTCAAAATGGTGATGCAAAAGCTTCTTCAAAAGCCCATAACACACACCAGATATCCTCTCCAACCTCTCTGCAGCCGACCCTGGTGATCTTATCCAAACACTCACTCATGTCTTTCCCATTACTTATGCATTCCATTGGATTGGTTCACGGTAGAACGACAACAAAAAACATTCAGTATCAAATCTATTTGTTCTTGTTGAGTATGTCCCAAGTGTCCACTACGTATCTCCAACATGCTATATATGTTCTCATTTGCCAGACAGGAAACACAATAGGTTGGGTTGCATACCACTTGCATCATGTTAGGGGCCTGCGGTGCTATCATGGTTACAATTGGGGGAGTTGTAAACAATGACAGCACCACTGAAACATCTATCTGAAACCCCCCACTGCCCCTCTCTCCCCCTCACAGCTCGGAGGTGGTCATGGGGCCTTTGGTGCATGTAAACTACGGTTCTTCAAGCTTACTGTGCCATGTTCAACAGCCTCGACAGTAATCCTCACTCCACCATGCACAACGTCCCTGCAGTTACCGCAAAGCTTACTGTAACATAGATTAAACACATATTTGTTTTTGTCAACTAAGAAATAAATGGGCACGCAATAATACATAATAGACTTGGTTAAATGATGCTAAAATATGTTTCAACATGGACACACAACCTTTAGGACAACATATATTATGTAGCTTCAAACTATCCAAACTAAGCACACTTCTTGTGCTTCCGTGGTATCTTTGGAATATAATGTTGGTTGTGGCTGTACAGGATAGTGTTTTTTTTAGGAGAGAAACATAGCCTACAAAGTAAGCATCTAACACAACCTAACTTAAGTTAACAGGCCTCTGGATGCCAGCAGTGGTTTAAGGGGAATTCATTCATTGTGTTCTGCAAACAAATATCTTTATGAGTTGTTCCTCTCTCTGTAGAAAACAGGATCTACTGCTTTTCATAATTGGTCCCTTAAACACATTACACATCTGCTGTATGTATGCCAGTATGTCATATTGGCTGGCTCAGGGGAAGACAAATAACTACAATTTAAGTATCTAATTCCTCTGCAAATGGAAAGAAAACCCACAACAATTGTCTTGTTTACATATCCTGGAAAGGAGTTGGTAATTCCCAGCAAAAGCACACATGGGTAACATTATGTGAACTCCCCAGGCATAGATCATATAGTAATAGCTGACAGTGACACCAGGCTAAATATATAAAACTCACTTCCTCGCTGCTGACAAAAAGCAGAGTATGAATGGTGGCTTGGTACGCACTTATCTACATCACCATCCACTGCACATAATCACTCACTGTCCAAGTCTTTCTGGCAGCAGATGGTTTTCTGGCTGTTCCATTACACACCAAGAACAGAGGTCACTGAGGAACTCCATCAGTAAATGAAAGGAGCAGATCAGAAAAGCAGATGGAGCCCTTTGATACAAGCCAACTAGGTAAGGTGTGAAATGAGGAAAATGAAGTCTTGCAGAAAATGATTGTCATATTTTGATAAGTCGCAGTAACAGGAAGGAACCGGAGGGATTAGCGTTAAGAAAAACATTCAAGTGTATTTTGAAGCTCCGGGGATAAACACCAGACGGTCTTGACAGAGAAAGAAGAGGAATGCAGGGCCGACTTGGCCTCATTCACAAGACCTTTCTCCACTTCTGTGTTCATTAGCTTGCAATGGGCAAAATTCTATCTTGCGTACTATCTTTGTGTTGTGGCTACAATACTGGTCAATGTTAATCAAGGCTCTAACCTACCTATTTCACAAGTTCACATTTTACTGGAAAGTTTCACTTTCTATGATTGTTTTTTATATTTATCTTAAGAGAAGAGAGGTCATGTTCTTGTTTAAGCAGGAAACAAATCAATAGTTTTTCAAATTCAGACGAGGCTGCGAAACAGTTCCAGAATGAGCTTCCCTGAGCATGCAGCGATTGTGCTGGAAACAGCATTTTGCTCCAGAGATGTTTATGAGGGATGTGTTAATTATGATATAATATTCAGTGACACCTGCTGACTGGCTGACTTAACTCTCGGGTTTAACCCTTCAACAACTAAACCTTGGGACACACAAGAGGACATTTTTAGGCTTGGAATATGGGAGATCTCACTTTCAAAAGCTATCTTCACTGATATAGGCTTTCTAGCACTACGCACTTCACAGTAATAATCAGTCATGTAAGAGTCTCTGATCTTACTCAAAAGTTCATTAACCCCAAAAAGTTTTAAACCTACATGTACCGTTATGAATTTTGGGTCAGAGTGGGTTTCTACATTTTGCAGAGAAAAGTTTCAGTGAAGAAAATCTGGTCAAGTTGAAATTAGGGTTGTGCGTTGTGTGTCATCAGGAGGCCATACTGCCGCTCCACTAGACACTACACATTTGATATTAAGTGACAAGCTATTTCAGTTCAACAAAGACACACTCTGATAGACAGAGAAGATTACTGGTGCAATAGTTTAAATAAGTGTTTTTGTCTTACTTTATTTGGGATACTACTTAAATACATATATGTTTCTGTGACACAAAATGTTGCCCTATTCCTAGGCTATGGCGATTATAGAAGATTATTGTTTAACATAATATAAATTAGCTACAATAATTGATTAATTGGTAATTTTGGAGAAACCAGCTCAAGTGCGCTAGAATTTGAAAACTACACAGCCAGAAGAAATCTGCTACTTCCTTACAGAGCCCCTCCTCCAACACACACGAACGTGCACATGACCGATGACCACAAGATAAGTTTGTGCACAGATGGAAGGCTGACAGGCAGGTAGGCCATCTAGTTATTTTAACCGGGCAGGCTAAAATGATTGGTCGTGCTTTTTACAGCACTACGGCTATCGGGATGTTAAGAGCATTCCATGGAATATAACAAAAAGTGTATCTCGAGCCGGTTTCTCAAACTTACCTACCCCACCTTTAAGTGTCTATAATTGTGGAATTATTCAATTTAACATCTTATTTCTAAAAGCAATATGAACAGTAGGGATATTTCAATATCACCAAACCTGGGCCTCATGAGTCTACACTAATGTCTCTTTGAAATATTTCAATAACAAACTGACTGGTTATGAATACAATTGCCAAAGGGGGGGGGGGGGCGTATTAGGACTCAGATAACAAGAGTTGACCGAGTGATCGATTATTCTCTCACTGCACATATTGAATAAATAACTGGACACATCTCTATAGAGAACATTAAATGAAACAGCCTATTTTAAGTATTTTTTCGAATGAGTTAGTTTCTTAAAACTAGGCGGTAATCACCATTGAGAGAATCTGGATGAGGAATTTGATTTGTCGCTTTTCCCTGGGACCAAAAGGGAGTATTAGTATAGACTTTATAGAGAAGGAATAAGTGTGTGTTGTTTTGCCAACACTATCCTAAATCCCCCCCAGCTGTCTGCAAACAAATAAAGGCTGATAAGAGCTAAAAACGTTACACCCATATTTAGCATCAGTAAACACAACCCCAAATACAGTCGGTTATCCAGCACTCATATAGGCTAGTAAAGTCTAAAACATTCTTTGCTAGCAAATAAACAGTTGCCTCTACACAAAAACTGTTATTTCGATCTTTTGTATTTTGACACAGGTGACAACGTTTATAGGTGTAAAGTGTGTGTGTAGAGTGTTTAGAAAATGTACTTTTAACTGCGCATCAATAAGTCCACTGGAACATAACAAATTGATTATATTGTTTTATTTTGTAGAATGGCCATAGAGGAATAATACATGTTAATACCATGGATGTATAGGTTAATACCAGCATTACACCCTATGTAATTATCTGATGGTGCAGTGGAAAAATACTCAGTCACACTGTTTCTGCTGACAGCTAAGTTTATAACGACGTTAACTGAAGGAACCATGAGCCAGCCTGGGTGTGTCATCTTCGGAGGGTGGAAACTTTTCAGCACTTAATTTAAGCGACATTACTTATTATATCATATTTCAACAATACGCAATATATATTATGAGCTTCACTAAATTCCCCGACGAAACCTGACATCCGTTTAACAGGAACGCTAACTTAACGGTAGCATAACTGTTGAGTTTACAATAGCCTTATAAGCTAACGCTAGTGTCTGACACCATCAACACAAACATGGACTTTGGCAATACGACTACCTTTATTACTAAAGCAGCACGACCACATCGTAAATGTACAAAAACACATCTGCTTGTATTAGTCATTAAATGATGGGAAAACAATTCACAAGTACCCACACAATAACGCGAAATGTGTCACACCAGGAGAGGCTAAACAACAGTGGTATCGCTAGCTAACCTTAAGATAACTTACCACCGTTTATTTACATGGCGTCTAATATGAGCATTATTCCGAACCCATTTCACATACAGCCGTACATGACACGCAAACTACGACACAAAATCGGACATTGAAACTAGTAAATTAAACTCCAGAGGAATTATGAGTTTATTTAATATCATCTTGATAGGCTGTCACTGGTCGCTCGTCCTTCCCTAAAACAGGTGTGGTACTTTGTTAATCAATAACGGCCGTTTTAAGAAACACCCAGTTGTTCCATAACATTCATAATTTTCTGAAGACTTACCAAAGCAGGATTTCTATTTCTGCCCTCGGTTGATGCTATCTGTGCATTAATAGAGCATTTCGGTCGGGGCATTGGTTCTCCAAAGCAAACCGCTCCTGCAACAAAAGCCCCACCTTCCGGATGTGAAAAGTACAGATGACAGGATGTTGCGACATCATCATCTTTCCCCGTTTAATTTATTTTATTTTATTTAATTTACATAATACTACGCTCGTCGCCGTTGACCCGCTCAATGCAACCCTTGCTAAAAATAAACAAGTCATAGGCTACTAAAATAATTAAATTATAAATGTCTAGGAACAATGAGCCGCACATCTCTTTGTTCATCTCTTTGCTACTCTTTACAACACATTGCGTTTCCATAATAGACACATTTTGCTAACAATAATAACGTTTTAGGTTTAAACAAGTTTCAAAACTCAAATGATGTTCCAGGTGAATTTGACCATAAGGACATAATACAAGGTTTAATTAAATGTTTGTACCAAATCTCTTCATTTTTTTAATGGATTATAAACATAATGCAGGGCTACAACTATATATATACATATATAGCCTATTATAGTAGTATATATATATATCTCTCTCTCTCTCTCTCTCTCTCTCTCTCTCTATATATATACATATATATATATATATATATATATATATATATATATATATCATCAATACCTCTACTTATTATTGTTGTATTAACTGTTTGGTCTTTAAGCAAATTGACTATTTGACTTGACTATTTTGATCCTCAGAAATTACAGAAGAAAATATGACAAACACTGATGTTTTAAAAGACAGACAGATGATCACAGACATTGGAATTAGCAGAAACAAATGTTATATCTTTCCACTTTCAACCCTGACATTAATTAGACATGACATTATATCTAGCTTAGTTTTTTTGTTAATGAGACCACTGTGCCAAAGACACTTTTATGTAAGTATATGAGGAAGTCCTATAAAGATGTATATTTAAAATAAATGGAGCTTATTAAAACATATGTCGCCTACAAGTAACTACGAGTAACAGCACAGCACAGGCAGTACTTTTTCTTATTGCATCTTACTGCGGTGTGAATGTGCCTAATTGCGATAAAAGTGCCCCTATGGCCCTGAATGAGAATGAGTAAGTATAGAAAGTAAATGGATGAATGGTAATGGTACAACTGGGGGCTTTTTTAGGTCATATGTATAGAGTTGATTAAAAGGTAGTCACTATGCTCTTCCAACACACAGGTCTAGACATTGGCCTCAGAAATGAAAGAGAATGTAAAAGTGTGCACTCTTTATTTTCTTTCCAGGTTAATTGCATCAAGGGAGTAAGAGCACTCATATCATATATTTCAAAAATGATGAAGGGGCCAGTTATGCTAAAGAGGTTCACATACTTTCTTCAACATTAAATGTGCAGAAACAACACTCTAGATGATTAAACATGTTAATACATTATTCATGTTGTATTTTCAGCCAGTGTGAATACACAAAAAAAGAGACAGCATACGTTAGACTTCACTTCATGAGGAAATCTGAGGATGCATATGCTTCACGTATACAAGATATTACATTTTTAAACATAAACACAAATGAAATGCACTTGGCTTATTGGTCCCTATACGGGAGCTAAGAAGGACATACACTTAGAAAATATATAATATTGGCTGCACTGTTATTCAGTGTCCCCCTCAGGCCTTATTTAATGAGGACTTCGACCTTGCTTGTTGTCTCTACTTGTTTTCCCATCATTGAGATGCTGGAGACCAGGCGGAGTAATGAATAGCACTACAATAGCTTGATGCATGAGGCTTTTGTATTTAGTCTCGGAGGAGGTAATAATGTGATTGATTTTCTATACCTCTGAGTATTCTGTAGATTGAGAATCCCTTAGTTCCATGCCATAGATCTGAAACTGTAATGTGCTCCATTCCCCCGCTGCTATTAAGGTGAGAGGTAAATGAATTGAATTACAGCATATTGGGAGTGCAGACCTTCATATTCTCTCTCCTGTTTTAGGTCATATTATGCCTGCGGGCCAGAAATCCTGCTTTCCCAGAATCCCTGGAGTAACACCCATTTCCAACAAAACCATGCTCAATACCATCACTGAACCCACCCATTTGGATTCATCTATTAAAATGATATGCTATTAAATACCTCCTTGCTGACAGGTTGTCTCACACTCTATGGTTTACTCACTCAAGCAGTGCCCCAGACTGATAATGATGCAGGTGTACAGTGGTATAAAAGACAAAACCCAAAGTGGAGCTATTGCAGAAGTTAGCCTATGGTATTGACTTGTACAGCTGATTAGTTTTAGGAAGTATTTTGATTTTTAAAACTGACAGCTACATGTCAACACTTTTTCTGTGACAGCTCACTGGCAATGACTTTCATCCTCTCGCCAAGTATCTCATCAGTTTACAAGTGGCTAACGTAAGTAAACACTCTTACAACTAAATTGCTAATATACTGTTCTGTGATTAACAAACCCACACTCTGTATAGGAAGTGTTGAAATGATGTAGAATGCACCACTGAAGATCTCTAAATGGCTGTAAATTCAGGCTTTATTAAGATTATAAAGTACATTAAGTATTTGTTAATTCAAAGAAATGGCCATTATTACTCAGTATTCTTTTAACTTAACAACCTTATTTTCAAGGCACACATATTTTCTGCACTTATTTTAGATTCATGATGCTTTTAGATCTACAAAGGCAAATATTGGCAAGATATCAGACTTTAAAGAAAATGTTTTCATGTTGTTGGTTGAAGTAGATGCAAACTGGTAGTGGTTCAATATAGGACACAGAGAGAACTGTGCACATTGCATGCACGGTAAAATAACGTTAAAATAGTTTGGTTTGTGTGTATGTCCCTGTTTGTGCCTGTCAAATTGTCCCTCATATGAAGAGTAGGAATCTGAATACCCAAAGTATTTGGCAGTTCATAACAGCACAGGTTTGGCTACCCGTGTGCCTGTGCATACAGAATGAAATCTTTTCTCTCTGCTCATTTCCCTCATTGCCGTAGAGAACAAATGTTGAGCTTGACTAACTGGTTTAGATGAAACCCAGAAAGCACACATTAATCAGGAATCTGCAGAAGGATATGCAGGCTGATGTGTGAGACCATAACTCAACTCTGGCAGTGCTCAGTGAGGGGGAAGACCATTGTATTTGTGCAGATGGGAGGACTGTGTCTCTTCTTTGGCAGAGGATGATAAGATGGTGGGCGGAGAGAAACCAAAGGGGTTGGTGCACAGCCTGCATTTCTGAGTACAAATGGACTGCCAGACACCTGCATGGCTACGTGGAGGCAAACGCACCTGCACAGCTCTTATACAGGACTTCAAAGGCAGAGAGCTGGGGCCACTCTGCCCACTTATATAGCACTGCCAGTGTGTTGTCTGTTTATATCACTCCCAGTCTCTGCAGGCACACCTACAAGATTGACAGCTCTGTGATCTCATGCTGCTAATTTCAAGGGCATTCAAATCACCAAGGTTGAGGGATTTATTTCATATTGAGAGCAATCAAGTCTGGAACCAACAATTGAAAGAAGTTATCACCTCCACCAGATGGAGCCAGAAATACCATTAAAAAGGGATGTGTAACTATTATGGCTTTTACAGCTTAAAATAGGTATCCGCAGTATGTCTTGGTTCATTCAATTGATTGCATTGTGCATAAGACATGCTATGTTATTAAACTGTAGTGCTGCCTTCAGAGGGTGGAACAAGATGTGCACTTGATAGCTGTAATTATGGTGTGTTACAGTGAGTGTGCTGTAACCATCAGAGCAGTGCATGTATAAGCCACACTTGGGTTTTAGTGCCTTAAAAATATGGCTTCAGCATGCAGGAACAATCTAAGCTCATCTATTTTTTCTTTAAGCAAATCCTCAGTCAACTGAACCATCAATGAACTATTCAGGTTGGACAGTGTGTTCCTGAGAAGTGTTGGGAACAGTTTGATTAGAGTACTGTATGCAATAATTGAGTTATAGTTAAGTGTTTTTAATGTATAAACGTGACAACAGAACAGTAATGAATATCTTGTCCGGACAGCCTATGTATTGTGAAAAAGTTGCTCTATGAAAATGTTTGTTCTCATTTGAAATATGTAGTACCTTTGCCAAAGGCAACCAATGCGAGACGGAGAACATTTTGCCAGGAGCACAACATTTCTTTTTCATAATTGTCCTGCACTGAAGTACAGATTTTTCTCATGTAAAATATAAAATGGTAATATGGCTCAAAATCTGATTTAAAACTGAAGGGAAGGTTATTACCTTTTTCCTATCTGTCTCCTCGGTTTCCTGTTTGCCTCTACTGTTGTATCCATTAAAGGCTTGAAAACCAACAAAAGAAATACAACTTCACACATTTTAGTTACTTTCAAAGTAACTGCTGCTGTGTAGCACCTTTCATAAAGGCATCCGCCTTCATTACACATGAAATCATCTTTCTTCTAAAAACAGAAGCATGTGCATACTAAGCTCAGCTCGATAGTCTTTTGTTTTATTGGATGTGTCTGTTTCCAAAGTGTCAAAAACCTACAGAGCCAAATATATCATCGATGTCATCATCACAGCCGCTGGTCTGTAATGCCGGGGACAAATTGCCGATAGTCCGGTTTTTTCGGTCGTCCACTGACGGTCCTGACTCAGTCCTCTTCCTCTTCCTTTGTCTCTTCAGCTGTGTCTTCTTCACACCAGTTCTCAAAGTTGAAGACTTGATTCGACTCCTGAGGGACTGGAAATGGGTTCTCAGGCGGTTGTGTCTACGCGTTGCAGCGTAGGATCGACAGCTTTTAGGCACTGAGCCTTGTGGACATAAAGCCCAGCAAGCTTCCTGTCTGAAGGTGCGTAACCTCCTCTGGACGCTGGAGATGAGGAGAAATGATAGAACAATGCACATTTAGTATCAGGAGAATCGGTGTCACACAATACTAAATTATCTTGTTTTTCCTCAACAACTCCACACGTAGTGGCCACTTTATTAAGTGACATCATTTAAAGTGGAACTTTCATGCCATATTGGAAAAATATATTGTAGGGCCATACCTATACAAAACATGTCTGTGAAGTTTTTTGGTTAAAATACCAAACAGATCACCCATTGTAGCCATCCCTCATACTGCTCAAACCCCTCTTTTGCAGCCCTGTTAAAAACGCGGATCTTGGGTCCTTAGCTTGAAAAAAAAAAAAAGGAGGAAAAGGAGGAGGCGGAGCTAATGCCTGATCAGAATTCTACTGGAGATAAAGTTAAATTCTGCTGTGATAAAACCTCATCCTGTTCTAAACCACATCAAGGATTGTTTCTGAAACATTATGGAGCTCAAATGCTTTTTCTCTTGCAGGTTTATCACAAGGTGGGTTCCTTTTTTTATTTCCTGCTTTTTAAACACATGTGCTCTTCAGTACAGATTAGCTCTGAGTGTTAGCGAGGCTTGCTAATGTAAAGAAATACGTCCAAAACACGTCAGGCATTGTTTCTGATAACAACTTTCTGTGGGTCCGCCACCGATTTGACATCAGATCGGTAGCAAATCTGTATCCGCTCGTTGTACCCGTTTTTAAAAGATTTGGGTACGCTGCGTGAGTTCCCCGACGCACCGGGGACCAGGCTTGGAATTTCGTCATTTTAGGGGCAAAGCCATTTGGCCTTTGGTGTCACACATTTTTTCAGGGCCACATGCCAGGGCACAAAGGCCATTGAGGGAAACATTTGGATTTGGAGCTTACAAATAAATAACTTAACTTTTTGATAAGAAAAACACACGAATGACATGGAATACAAATCACTTTTTTAATATCAATAATNGAAATATGTTTTGCGGCTCCAGACAATTTTCTTTTTCGGAAAAAGGAGCAAAATGGCTCTTTTGGTCAAAATGTTGCAGACCCCTGTCCTAGACCCTGCAAATGAACAGTATTTGTATAATTAGATATGCCAAACGAGAGGGTATTACATTCAGAGTTCCACACTTAATTTCCTCAGTTACTGCAGCTATTAGGAAAAAAAATCATCCATTTCGTTTTTAATATCCATAGAAAAAAAATTAGGTCACACACTATTGAATTTGCCAGAGAAGATGACGTTAACCCTTTGGTGCCAAAGAAGCGTGGAGGACATCAGTTTTCTGGCAGAAGGGTGTTACAGAAACACTATATTTCCTACAGTGATAATGGATAAAATATTAAAATCATTCATTAGATTTTATCTGGATTAATTGGACCATGGCTAAATATAGGCAAGGCAAGTTTATTTATATAACAGTTTTCAACACAAGGCAATTCAAAGTGCTTTACAAAAATGAAAGACATTAAGAGCATAACACACATTAGAAACATTGTGTGCACCTATCTTGCTATTTTAAGGCCTATATTATGGGTCTCAGATATATACAAATATATAAAAACATGTCTATGTTGTGTTTTACTCGAAATACAAACAGATCATGCATTTTAGACCCCCCTCATATCCCTCTATTCCAGCCCTGTTAGAGAAACGCGGATTTTGGGTCCTTAGCTTGAAAAAAAAAATAAGAGGAGGCGGAGCTAATGCCTGATCAGAATTCTACCGGAGATAAAAATACATTCTGCTGTGATAAAACCTCATCCTGTTCTAAACCACATCAAGGATTGTTTCTGAAACATTATGGAGCTCAAATGCTTTTTCTCTTGCAGGTTTATCACAAGGTGGGTTCCTTTTTTTATTTCCTGCTTTTTAAACACGTGCTCTCCAGTAGAGGTTAGCTCTGAGTGTTAGCGAGGCTTGCTAATGTAAACAAAGACAAGATTACGTCCAAAACCGGCAGGCATTGTTTCTCATAGCATCTCTCTGTGGGTCCACAATCCGAAATTACGTCATATCGGCAGCAAATCTGTATCCGCTCGTTGTCCCCCCGTTTTTAAAAATGTGGGTACTGAGGAAAAAAGAAAAGGTTTTATTTTCTGACGCTGTGTGAGTTCCCCGACGCACCGGGGACACATATTTATGTATAAAAGACATCACAAAGTGCATTTTGCATGATAGGTCCCCTTTAAAAAGCAAAGATAATAAAACATGAATAATACAGGTACATGAATAACAGTTACAGTGCAGTGTACGATGTGAATAGTTCAATTAAAATTAGCGGAAAAAAGAAAAGTATCCAGCCTGGATTAAAAAGTAGTAAATTGCAGTGGACCTGCAGGTTTCTGGGAGTTTTGTTACCCGAAACCATCGCTGACCTTTTATTCCACTTTAAATGTTAATCTATATGTGACCCGCTCTATCGAAATCAGTCGGAAGTCGCAACGGCTCATTTCAAAATAAACGTGGATTTGCGTAAAAAAATAGTTGGGTGTTTTGTTTGATTTTAAATAAAGAAAGTCTTGGCTTGAAAGCCAAGACTTTCTTTATTTAAAATCAAACAAAACACCCAACTATTTTTTTACGCAAATCCACGTTTATTTTGAAATGAGCCGTTGCGACTTCCGACTGANATTGTCAGAGATGGGGTCATTCAACCAGGGGACACATTGACAGAATGTCAAAATGTTTCCCCTAACGTTTCTGAGGAACCTGACATTTAACATTATATTCTAGTATCTATATACTTGACCTCTCACTGAATTATTTGATGAATTGTATACTGTACTTTGAATTAAGGTTCCAGTTTCAATAAAACCTGTACTATTTACACCTATGTTTTAGAGGCTTGCAATTTAGAACTAATACACTTTATTTTATTGGGTTACACTTATTCTGACTATTTGGTGATGTAGTTCAGCCACCTGGTATTTCCCTCTCCAAATATAATGACCATCAGAGTGAGCATTCTTAACTTATAGGCTATTGTGCCACTTATCCCCCATTCAGAGTTTGACTGTATCAGAGAAGAGATAGGCCTATGTCTAAAGAAATCTCATTTGCAATAGAACTGTACCAGATATTTCCATACAACTACTGGTTAGTGTTCAATAGCACCCTAGACAATTCAGTAATGGTATATTTTTTAGGGATTTCCGTTTTTCTGATAAATGAGAGAAAAGTGATTGAGTCCTATGTTCCTATCACCAAAAAGTACAATTTCCGTCTAAACTAAAGCTAAGTTTATAGGACTATAATTCCGTATTTCTTTAGTTAAATAATTGTCTGACTATTTAGTGATGTAGGACAGCCACCTTGTTCATACCTCAGCAAATCTGAAGAGGAAAAGAGTTGTCATTTTTTTGTCACCTTTCCCACATTCGGCCTGGTCTAATTTGGCTCTTTTTCAGGGATTGGGGTAGTTCTAAAGAACAACCCAAAAAACATTTTTCCCCCAAAATAAAATTTGACAACAATCAATTTCATTAATGGGAGACCCTAAAGATAAGAAAAATCATTGTTGTCATTTTGTTCTATCTCGGGTAGGGGTATCTCGAAAACTAAAGCCTTTTTTGAGGACTTGCTGCTGGACTATAGGCTTTAAAGTTAAACTGAACTTCAATGTGTGCTCTGCGCCTTTAACAGGAACTCTGACGTTAACATTTAGTCGAATGTCATTGGTTGGTCGACTTCCGCATTTTTTCTCCAGTGAAGCATGGCCGGAGAACCGTGGAACAGGGTAAACATTGCTTTTCCCGGTGCTGTTTCTTGTGTTCGTGTTCATTTCAACTCAACCACAGGTACGATTTACTGTTCGGATTCTCATTAGTTAAATATGTAGACTTTGTAACGTGATGTCTGAAGGAAACACTGAGCTTAAAACACTAAATGTGTTGCCTTTGGAACCCACGTGTGAGGAAATAGATCCACCCCTGAGCGATGTTGTTGTTTGTCATGATGGCTAATAAACTGTGATGTGTTGTTGCTGTCAACGCAGATGCAAGTGTTAAATCGCTGTTGGTGGAAAATGGGAAGGTGCTTCAGCTTCTCCGCAGTGAGATTCTTCAGACGGAGGTACGAGTTCTCTACGAGCTGCTGTACATCCTAAATAACAGCTACAGAGGCAACAAGACGTTCAAAGGCTTAAAGCAGGTGAGGACTGTAGATTAAAAGCCACATCTGGCCCCTACAGGATGCGTGCTGCATGATCTGTTTTGATTTGGAGATGTAGACATGTCAGTCATTCAGGATTCACTCTGTGTTAAAAAGAAAAGTCAGAGAGGTCAAACTAACAAACCCAAATAACTAACAACATGTCTCATCTGTTGTCCTATCCCTCACAGGTTGAACAATGCATAAACAGGCTGAAGAACATGAAGCTTGATGTTGCTCTTCAGGAGCTGACAGAGCTGTGTCCCAACAGAATTCAGAGGTAGATGGAAAGCTTTATCGGTTTAGTGCCCTGTGCTGCCTTTGCCTGTTGTTTACAGCACAGCATCAAACACAGCTGTTTAATTACACGCTTTAAATGAGAAAGACAGCACGAATACTGGAGCCTGATATTGCTCCAAATAGCCGATGCAGACCAATAATATCTAATGCTCATAGCACAACAGTGTCACATTTAGTTGAATGTGGGAGGCTGTAATCATGTATTTTTTCCCTGCAATAACATGTGTGTTTCAGAGGGCTGAGCATCACGGCTGGTGTGTGTGAGCTCCCCAGTCAGCCCATGCTGGAGTGGCTCTGTCTCAAAGTGCTGGGAGCTGCAAAGCTGATGAGCTGCATGTTGAATCGCTGCAGTAGAGCTTTCTCGTATCCTTTCCAGAGGAAGACTCATCTAGACTTAAATGGTATAGATAGCCACACAAACGCATAACTGGAAAATGCATGTGGGAGCTGACATATTTAGGTATGAACAATAACAATGTACAATACTAAATCAAACCCATACGGCATGACAAATATTCAGACATTTGTCCGGCTTTCTTTTGTTCACTCATAGATGTATCATTTTAAGTTATGTAGTTTGTGTTGTTTCTTTTGTTTTTGTATACTAATGGGGAATTTAATCAAAATGGTCTATTTTGCAATTGAATCTCTTCGTAAATCTCAGCTTTCTTGATGTCACATAATTGCTTTGTCCTTAAGAGATGTGTGCTTCAGACTAACAAAGCAGCAGATGAAATGGGAGGAGTTCATCATCTTGAATATGGTGATCACCAGCCTGCTCAGTCGCCTCTGGTGAGTGCTCTTCCTCATTGTCACAAGGCAGCGTTGCATGTTGGCGCCTCCAAATTGCTGTAAGATTTATAAAAACTTGAAATAGTGAAATGAGTGTTTGTTTAGAAACCGCTACAGCTGATCTATATCTCCCTGCCTTGTGCTTCACCAGGGTGATCTCCAGAGGGATCCTGGTCAGCCTGTCCCCTCTGTACCAGCAGCTCCTGGAGCTCCTCAGACCGGTAGCCGACGCCCAGCCCATGCCGTTCCTCACAGACTTCCCCCTGCCAGCAGATATGCTTCAGTTCCTGGGTCCTTCTGATGCCTTATTACTGACCAAAAAACTAGCAAAGGCCAAAGAAATCAAGAAGAAGCGGAAGAAGAAGGAGCAGCAGAAGAAAGACAAGAAACCGGGAGTGGCGAGAAAGGTCAAAGAAGATGTGGGTGTTACTGTTGAAAGAGGTGTGTAACTCTTTAATAGTTCTGTAAACGGTATGACACATTCAATGCAGAACAGGAAAGTGGCTCTGCCCTAATGGATACACTCACTCCCGTTTGGGGGTTACAGTTCTAAAAACTGCAAATGGTGACTCATCAGTAGGTCTTTTGTATCAGTGATTAGTTCTCCCAGCTACTGATAGTTTACCAAATCATCTTCATTGTAGCCATATGTGATTTACACCTGATGATTTGAGTAAAAAGCCTTGTTTCAAATAAAGCTGCAGCAAAAAGTTTTTTATTGTAACGTCGATCGACAGGAAAATAACTACTTTGAAAATTGATTAATCGTTGGGTCGTTTTTTCATCAAAAAAAGGTTTTCAGCCTTTTAAAATATGGATTTTTTCTCTTTTTATATCTTATATAACTGAATAGCTTTGGATTTGGACTCACCCACAAGACATCCCCTGAGACTGATAAACTGTGATAAATATTTTCTAAATTTTTCCAACATTTAATCCATCAATAGAATTATTGTCAGATCATTCGATAATGGAAATAACTGTTAGTTGTAACCTTCTTCTGAACCCATTTTCTCACCTTCTATTTTACCTTGCAGAGTTAATTATTATTATTTATTTTTTTCAGCAATATGTCTGGATGCGGGCATGAAGCCTTTTCTCAAAGTTTTCAGGAACTTCACAGAAGTATGTATCCAAAATCGGATTCCTTATTGTTTCATTCTTTTATCATTTACAGAATATTTCCATTGTTCAGTGCTGCAATCTCCTCCAATCTAATTACTTTTAAATGTTTGTTACCCAAGGGCAAATCCTTCAAACAGAAAACACACAAGGCTGACCGTAAACTAAAGTTCAAGAAACAAATGGGAGAGGCTGCTTCTTTCACAGACATGGCGTCACATCTAGAAGAAATGATCCCATGGTGTGAATCCCAGAAGATGGAAAAGGAAAAGCGCTTTTTAAACTTCCTGCATTTAAAGTGCCAGAGGATGAAATGCCTAGAGGCAGCCGGTTACAGGTAAGAGCCACACTGCACAATACACACTCAGCCTCTACTTTAGGAGAATCCGTACAGGCTAATGCTATTCAATAAAAAATCTTGCCATATATTCTACCTTTACCAAATTTATAATGCAATTGTGTTAAATAAAGGGGACCTATCATGCAAAATGCACTTTGTGATGTCTTTTATACATAAATATGTGTCCCTCGGTCTGGCCGTTATGCCCCACAAATAATTGTACGTCCTAAGGCCACCATGGCCTGTGTGCCCCTGATACTGTTAAAATCTCGAAGTTGCTTTAAAAGCGACAGAACAGTGCTTTCTGAACTGCATTATGCTGCGTTCAAAACAGACAAAATTAACCTATTTTACAGTGATTTAATTGTAATACACGTTTCAAAATGATGCTGAAGTAACTACATACTGATACCGGTTAGTAAAAAACATGAATTAATGCTTTGAAAAGTGTGCAGACAAGACGGCAAGTGAAAAACCTTTTAAAATGCGTGTTTTTTTAATGGATCAATCAGGCTAAACTAACCTGTAGCTGCTCCGTCCACACTCACAACAACGTCCTAAAGACAGAATTAAAGCAGCGATTGTATTCGCCATGACACCATGACAGTCTGTGGTTTGTGCATGTTTAACTTTTGTCCAGTTTCTGAACAGAGCTGTGAGGAGTTGATTAAAGAGACTCTCGTGTACACACACACACACACACACACACACACACACACACACACACACACACACACTATCATAGATCTTACTGGATTTCTTGTTGACCGGCCTAAACAGTGTGTAAAAAGTCGACCGGTGTACGGTCCCGTGTTTCCGGTACTCCCTTGTAGAACCTAAACCTAACTGTTTTTTAATTGAATTGAAAAACTATTCTTTTTGTGATGCTGTACTGTACCTTTTGTTTAGTGGACAAAATTATAGTTGATTATAGTTTGATAATATAGTTGTGCATATCCGGATACGGAGGAATCATAATGGCATATATTTTAATGAAATGAAAATCTTATTAACTCACAACCATACGAAAAGGTAGATGATGAAGCAGCGGGTAAGTGTTTAGGTTTTAGGTTAGTTTTTAGTTTAAGACTAATTATACATTGTTTATATACAGGTAAAGTCTCGTCTTCTTTTTGTCGGAAGTTTCCAGTTTGAGACGTGTACATGTCCACACGACCCACACCACGACACACACAACACACACCACNCTAAAAATGGGGGTACAACGGAGCTGTTCCAGATTTGCTGCGGTCATGATGACATTTCTAAAATGTGGGCTGGCTTTACGTTGAATTGCTGGCAACGTCCCGCCCACGTCCCAACCTATCGTCTCCTATCAGAAACAATGCACAACGTGTTTTGGCAGTAATATGGTCTGTGTTTACATTAGCAAGCATCGCTAACACTCAGAGCTAACGCTGGACAGAGAATGTGTAAAGAAGCCGGATATAAAAGGTACTGTCCTTGTGCTAAACCTGCGAGAGAGAAAGCGTTTGAGCTCCATACTGTTTCAGAAATAATGCTTGATGTGGTTTGGAACATAATATGCAGCAGCTCCAAAGGGGGCGTGGCCAGCAGCAGCTCGTGTTACGTTTATAGATATGGCCCTATAATATATTGTTCAAATATAGCATAATAGGTGAGCTTTAAATAATACATTTTCATAAAATGATAACTTGTCAAAGATACAAAAAGTGGCCCTGTTTTCAGACCATGTATGAGCTGCTTGATTCGTTGCTCCAGGTGGAGAGGGGGCCAACCCACATGGTGCATCTGTAAAACGAAGAATACACTTTAAAAAAAAGATTGAAATCTTGCTGAGTACATTTGTCTCATTTCTATTCAGAATATATCTCTACACTTGATATAAGACCTAATATCTTAAGAAGTAACAGTGCAGTGAGATATAGGGTCTTGTTTTTAGACAATGCATCTTAAGTTTCTTGTGGAGTCAAAGACTCTTGAAAACATCTTATTTTGAGTTGGATTTCAGATGAAACACGTTTTTTAAGCTGCTGTGTTATTTGAAAAAGATACATATTAATTGATTTTAGAAACACATTTCTATTGGAAAATCAACAACTAACATCAGAACAGTTTTGATCATTTGTGGCCTATTTATAACACAACATTTCCTGATCCTGGTGAAATATAGTTAAAAATACTTTTTTCGGATCTGAATTTCTCTAAATATCCCATCTTATTTCAAGAAATCTTACCAAGAAAAAATGCACTTGTTCTATTGGCAGATTTGTTTTTACTTACTACAAGCAAAACACCTTGTTTACATAATTGTTTTACTTGGTTTTGGAGCAGCATTTTCTCCAGTGAATGACACCACAAATTGATCTCTATGTTCAGACCAGTAATTATTATTTCTTGGTTCACAGCTGACTGACCCTCTGTCTCAGAGCCAGATGTTGTGATGAGACTGCAGAGCTGCTGTCAGGTGAGCTCCACCCATCTGCTGGCTGGGTGGAGGCAGTGCAGCAGCTGGCAGAGCCAGGGCATGTTGGCAGCTCCTCGTGTTCTCCCTGACCCCCCCTCACCCAGGATACTTGTAGATGAGGGGGAGTGAGCGAGGGTCACTGTCATTAGAGAGGGGGGCACAGCGCTCTAATGACTGCCATGCTGAAACGCCCGCTTCCTGTCAGAAGCGCCACAGGTCATCACATACATCATCACCGTCATGGGACTGGCTATTTACTGCAGCCAGAGCATGTCCAGGCAGCGTGTAGCTGATACAGGTCACACCTCCACTCTAATCACACTGCAATTAAAAACAAGGTGTTAACCACAGATGACCCGTAAAGCAAGCCCTGGGGCCGCAAAACTCTAGTCTGGAAATTAATATATTATAAACATATATATATCCCCAGACAGTAATTATATCCTTACAGAAAAATCAGGATGAGGCCGTTTTTTCTCAATAAAAGTCCCAAAAAGCAACATCACAATACCTTCTTAGCACTGGCAATATTGGCATCGGAACGCACACCAGTCACACAGTCAGAATGTCTAAGGGAATATTCTAGTTGGGTTCTTGTCACTGGGTTTAAAATGTGTCTGATTGATTTAACTGTAGACACTGTGCATCCTGACTTGGTTTTCTGTCGTGATATACTATAGACATAAAGGCACTTTCTCCATTATCCAAAGAGTAACCAGTTTTTACCAGCAGTTGTTTTTTTGTCTTTTAATGAACTCTTGTTTGATGTTGTGATTTGGGGTTTGAATTCAATCTTCTAGAACGGTGTGCTTTGTCGACTTGGCCTTGTATGTATTTGAAGGTGTGTCTCTATTTTCTTGTTTTAAGGAAAGCTGGAAGCTAAAAACATCACTTTTTGCTAATTAAACAGATGTTCAGGGAGTAAATGGCCTCCATTTATATAGCGCTTTTATAGTGCACCGACCACTCAAAGCCCTATATAACGCCTGCCAAAATTCACACAAAAACACACACACACACATACATTGACGTCAGAGACTGCAAAGTGAGGTGCCAAGCTGCTTGTCGAGAACAGTTAGAGTTCAGTGTCTTTCAAACGCATTGTCTAGACTTTATAGTTTCCATCTGTTCTGGATTTCCATGATTTGCTCTGTTATTTTTTTTGCAGGGGTTTAAAATTAACCTGTGGTTAAATAACATGACTTTATGCTTAAAATAATGTTTCTGAACTGTGCTGAAGCTTCAGCATCAGAGGCTCATCCAAACAGCATTTTGGAGCTGGCGGGTGGAACATTTCCTGGAGAGTTACGTCTCGCCAGAAGAGGCGGAGGACCCGGACCTTGAGGTGGTGGAGATCAAATCAAATCAAGTTTTATTTATATAGCACATTTATAAACGATTTTTGGTCGAGCCAAAGTGCTTTACATATAATAAAAATAGCCTACAGTAGAGACACTTTACAGCTAATACAACAGCACAGATTGTTCAGAATATCAGTATGACAAAAACGACACCCTCTATCCTTAGACCCTCACATCGTACAAGGAAAAACTTCCGGGGAAAACCCACAGTTTTAAAGGGGAAAAAATGGGAGAAACCTCAGGGAGAGCAACAGAGGAGGGATCCCTCTCCCAGGACGGAGAGAGACGTGCAATAGATGCCGTGTGTAAATCGAAGAGATAATACATTTAGGTAGTCCAAATGTTAGGAAATGCATGTGTCTGTAATAAGAAGATGAATCTACGAAGATGTCAACTACAATCCTGTGGGAGCCTTCAGGGAAGCAGCATGACGAGACCCAGGCAGGACCGCAGAGACAGGTTTAGCCAGTGCTACACGGAGGTGATGTAAGGAAGAGCGGTCTAAACAGACGTACACCCCACGCTTCTTCCGGCCGCTTTTGCTTCCGGACCGCTTTGCTTCGACGTGCCGCACACCGGACACCGCTTCGAGTCAGCATCTTCGGGATTACCTCGCGCCGAGTGGCCGAACCACTGTCGCCTCCCCCCGCCTCGCCGGCGATGCGCGAGGCGGCGGTATGCGGTAGTTGCGGCCCCTTCAGGACGGCGCGTCTGGACACGACGGCTGGGAGGACCTCCGTGTGGGCTTCGTTAGCCTGTTGCTTCACAGAGGCAAGCAAGGGAGGGGCTGCTTGCCCCAGGCACGGCCGAAGGCGACCGTACCGTTTGTGCTTCCGCGTGAGGGCAGTGAGCACGAGAAGGGTCGTTGTGTGAAAGAACATAAACCAGATATAGATGCGCCATAGGCTCAGCTCCGACTAGAAGAACGACACCGAGGACAAAGGGACCTAGGAGATAGGAACTCAAGACCTAATTCGCAACAC